TGAACTTTCTCACTTGGTCTTTCTTAATAAAATTTTTCTGGAGCTGATTGTATGGCTATGCTGGCACAGCTAAAAAGGTGATAATATCCATCTAAGAGAAGGCAGTGATGTGACAAGCATTTGGGACAGGGTGGAGGAGTTCAGTTCAACACAGCTGGTAGAGGCCATGGGACCACAGTCTGAAGGGTGATGTCTCAGTAAAATTAATTTTTCTCATTTGTCTCCTTCTACAGGAATATTCACAGACTGTTTCTTGTTTTGTCTCAGTGTTATAAGGGCCTTTATTTTGCCTCCCAGTGTTGAAACTCCTTTGTTTTCCGTAGAGTTTCTCCAGATTAACAAGTGAGATCAAAATAGTCAGGCAGCAAATCAATAGGTTTGCTAAGCTTAATAGAAAAGGTCCTTTATCTAGACACTCTAACTCCTTTTCCAATAAAAGCCTATTAAAATGATACTAACATTAGCAGTATGGGAAATCGCTTGTGCATACAGGTTGATGAAATGAAGCATATGGTGTGTCTTGACTTGCCATTTTCAGTTCTACTGGGAATAGTCATTTACCAACCATTAAAACTCAATACCATGCCTATAAAATGATTGGCATTTATAAAGGTAAATATTGCAGTGACTGTTCAAATGCTTCTTCTGTTACAAGAGCTATTGCAACTGCTACAGACAGTGATGTTGCCAGCACTGACACTGAAGAGTACTGAATAAAGACAAACTGGGTCATAGATTCAAAGGAAATGCTTAAAACATGGATCCCTGGGAAAAAAAGAAACATTTGAAGGAAATTTGAAAAGAAATTAAGAAAAAAACTTCAAACTTTAAATATTCTGAAAGGTTTGCTGGAATGCTTGTTTTAAAGGAATTTTTTAGTTCTTATTTTCTTAGCCAAGAAATATGAAAAGTGCCAGTTCTGGTTTTGCCAGGGCAACTCTTCTGGATCACAGAGGATGTACGGTTCTCACATTGTCAGTCTCAGCTGCTTAGTCTTGGAGAATATAATTCTTTCTCCAGGCAATATTAATTAGCAAAATTTAGTGGCCTGTACATTCACACAAATTGTTTTAATACTATTCTGAGAAAATTCAGTATAAGCTCTGCTGAATTAGATAATGTGTATTATTATCAATATTTAAGGTGACTTTTCTCCATTTAAACCTAATTTGATATTAGTAACTAAAAAACAATTAACATTTTTCCCCAGGGGAAACTGATGTAGAAAAGTGCTATATTCTTTTGGTTTACTTCTCTTCTATGTGTTTTCTTACTCCTTCTTTCTCTTTTTGTAGAAGAATTAACCCTTCAGCAATTTAAAGACTCCCCATTTGTAAGTCAAATAACAGATAAAGTATCATATGGCATACAAGACCTGTCAACAACTTGAATATTTCCAACAATTTATGCCTAATCTGTGGTCTCAGATGAATCTGCAAAATCATTAACTAAATTATTAATAATAATTGAATTTCTTAAAATTATAATGAAATATATGTCATAATCTGTCTGTTTGCAGGTAGGTTAAGAAGAGAAAAGTGAATTAAATTTAGCAAATAAATTATCTCTAGCAAATTGTTCTTATTATAGTTGCTTCTCCTTCTCTGTTCTTTTCTGGTCTCTTGACTACAATAAAGCTTATTATACCACATAGGTTTTCAAATGTACACATAAAGAGAAAATGTAATCTTGTCTGTGAAATGAGTTTGCCCCAGTTGTCACAGTTTCTAGTCTACCTAATAGTTTCTTAACTTGCAGTTTATTAGATGTCTGAATAATTTACAAATTTGACCATGGATTTCTGAGACTTTACATGCTCTAAAATGAGTTTGTTTTAATGGCACATTGACAAACGACAAAGTAATGTGTCCAACACAAACCAAATATCAAAGTTTTCAGAAATATTTATTCAGTCCAAATATACTTATTTTCAGAGGAAAAATAATTTGGGAAGTCTTTTGTGTACTAACTATATATACAAACTTGCTGTTACCTGTGGCTGCATTATCCAGGTTGTACATAACCCACAGTACACGCTGTCCTCGATTTCTTAAGTTACTAAGTACTAAAAGCTTATTAGCCATCAAGTTTAATGTAAATCAAACACAACTATCCTTCTTCTGGAGAAAGCACAAGTCTAGAAGTCAGCAGAATGTTGTCTATATTTTTCCTTTATTCTTAACTCTCCTTTCCAAGAGTGGATCACTGACAATAGATTTTTTTTGAGACACTGATGATGGTGTCAGTAGTCATCCTCTGTAAAGCTCTTTTCTCTTAAAAAGAAGTTATTCTATCAAGGATCTAACAAAAGCTCCTTCATATATTTCCAATAAAATAAATCACTGTGCTTGTTATTTGGAGTTAATTTTCTTCACAGTAGCTAGTATGAGGCTCTGTTTCGGATTTGCAGTGAACACAGGGTTGATAATATAGAGATATTCTTGTTACTGCTGAGCAGTGTTCACACAGAGCCAAGGCCTTTTCTGCTTTTCATACTGCCGTGCTGGTGAGGAGGCTGGGGGTGCATGAGAAACCAGAAGGAGACACAGCTGGGACAGCTGCCCCCACCTGACCAAAGGGATATTCCAGACCACATGACATCATGCTCAGTACATAAAGTGGGGGGAGGAAGGAGGAAGGGGGATGTTCAGAGTGATGCTCTTTGTCTTCCCAAGTAACCATTACATGTGATGGGGCTCTGCTCTCTTGGAGATGGCTGAACACTTGACTGCCCATGAGAAGCAGTGAATTAATTCCTTGTTTTGATTTGCTTGTGTGTGCAGCTTTTCCTTTTCCTACTAAACTGTCTTTATCTCAGCTCACAAATTTTCTGGCTTTTACCCTTCTGATTCTCTCCCTGATCCCATTGGTGGGGGAGTGAGTGAGCTGTGTGGGGCTTGGTTACTGACTGGGCTTAAATCACAACAACCATGCATTAATATAAGCATAAGCATTTGCAAGAACAAGCAGCAATTTTAGAGATAAATTTTCACATTTTGGGAACTTAAAATATTTTATTGCTAACAGAGACAAAGGTCTATATGTTTCTTACTTGAGTCTATCTGTGTTTTTCATTCATCTTCTAACCGTGTGTATTTTTAATACATTTAATTTTGCAAGTGTAATAAATAATTTTATTTTATTCAAACATGATTCTATAACTTTACCAATCCTGTTAAAGCAGTGATCAAACTAATATCACAGTTAAGGTAAATTAAGAGTTCAGATTAATCGTATTCAGTCATTAGATTAGTCCAGTAGGTAATAAAATAAAATGATAGTGTCAACACTACACATTAATTTTTTTATATAACCAAGGAAAACTTGAAGTGGAGCCTCTTTATCTGCAGTCCTGCACTCCATCTAAAATTTCAGCCCTTCCAATGTGTTTGCTCTGCTGCTGCAGGACATTATCCTGAGAACCTCCATTGTCATTTTATGCTTTTGCCAGTCTAAATTCACTAAGCAGCTGATAACCTTGACTCCTTGTAAGGAAGTATAGCAATTCAAGTGCTTCTGTAGTACTTTTTCCTTAAAATCATTGTCTCACTTTCCCATTTCACATGATAACTTTGGGGTGATAGTGCAGATGTGATGATGATTAAATGATGCACTCTAGCAGTTTTTGACTAACATGACCTTTCAGTATAGAAGCCACGGAGTAATTCAAAGTAGGTTGGTGATTATTTTGAGGAGACTGTTAAAGATGTAGTTCACAAACACACATACTTTAATATTCACATGTACATATATTAGTGAAAAACAAGAAAAAATATTAAGAACAAATTTAAAAATTTTCTGTTTCTGGGTCATATAATGACATAGGTGGTCATATAATATCTGCAATTTTGAGCTCAATATTTTAGCTTATGCTGGGTCTTATTAAGCTACAATCTGGACGGGCTGGTCTTTGTGTCACAAATCTTTCATCAGTTCTACAGTGGGAAAACTTGTCCAGGAAAGAAACATAACTGTGACTGGTGGAGCAAGAGAACTGCTTTTCTCTGTTTCATCTCTGCATAAACCTTTGAAAAAGGGTTGCTGCCCTCTTGCTCTGGTAGAGCAACTTCAGTGTGAATTAGGTTGAGAAGACTTCTCAGCAGTCAAATGTTTTTCATCATTTTTTTCTTGCTACCTAATCCCTTCAAAAACATCTTTATATCTTTAAATCATGCTGGAAATTCCATCACAAATAACACTACATTTTACCAGTTATCAACCGCAATAGAAATGAGATGATAATCCATAATCTATAAAGCAAAAAAGGTGGAAAATCTCTTTGCCAAGAGTTTAATCTCTGTTTTCCATCTGAGGAAATAGGAAAACAGGTGAGGACCAAAAAATCCAAAATCCCATATTGTGAAACTGGTACCATTTACTTTAGGATTCTTACTTCAGTTTTTTAAAAATTGTAAAAATATTATGGACTTTTTAACTGATAGAGAAGATTTGAACTTATTTCAACATAACCATCTCTAATATTTTTCCTTAAATTCAATTACTTTTATTGAAACTAGTCCTACAAGTTAATCCAAATCTAGAATGAAGTTTGTCATTCTTTCTGAAGAAAATAGAATACCTTTCTGTGATGCTTATTTCCACCATTCTTATTCCCTGTATTTCATCCCTCAAATGATAGCCCTTGGCGTATATTTTATTGAGAGTAAGACATGTTTAAAATGGTATCCCTGTAGATCATTAAACTCAAAATTTGGGAAGGAAAATCTCTCACAAATTGAGCATAAACAACTGATAGATCTCTGTGGGAAAAGAAGCAGTTTAACTGTAAATTGTGGAACCACAAAGGAGGTAAATACTTCTTAAGGCAGGCATTTAGCATCTTTAAACTTGTTCTGGTTCTATTCATCTGTTTCTGTTGATATTTATTGAATTAACAAAAAAATTCCTGATTTTCTTCTTGATACTGTATTTCAAAATACACTGATAATTTAGTTCCATGGTTCTGTTTCAATATGACTTTTTGATTCTGAATTTTTCAGGTGGATGTTTTTCAAGTGGAAGCAGTAGATGTGGGGATTCTGCAAAGGATGGTGGTTGAAAAAGGGAAAGGTTCTGACTGGCTACTGGAGAAGATTATTGTGAAAGAATCAGCATCTTCAGGGACTGAAACATTGTTTATGGCTCATACATGGCTTAAAGACAGACATGATGGAAAAAGATCTGCCTCAGTAGCTCTGAATGCCACAGGTCAATACTATCTTCAAACTATCACTTGCTAAGAAATTTGTTTCAAACTGTAATTTGCTTCCACAAACAAGTCATGGTTTAAATTATTCCAGTAGAACACTGTCATTATATAGGGAGTTAGTGTGTCTGAACACGGTTGTGTTTTAGTACCATTTAGTAACCAGTATTTGCCAGAGGATAATTTCTGCTTTGTTAATCCAGATTTATAGTGGCATAAATGGTAACATATTTGACCTATGTCTTTACATATTGCTGCCTCTCCAAGCCTTACTTCTACATTTGCAAACTATTTTTTTTAAGTTTCAAGTACCTCTGGCGACTACTTGCTAGGCAGAGTGAAAATGAGGTAAAAAGTGGGGCAAAATATTTTTAAACAGTGAAGAAAATGTCTCTATTGTATTGAAGATGACTGTTTTACCATATTTATGCTACACTGTTTGGACAGCTTTTGCCAGAAACTGGACATATTTTTGACTGACACCATGTGAGTAATCAGACCACAGAGGGGCAGTTTTCACCCCACTGCCTGTGGCTGCACTCTTTGTCAAAACAAGAAGGAAATGCACACCCTTCCTCTCTGTGTCATGATTTCAATACAAGCATATGTTTGAATACAATCTGGTGTGCAAGACAGAACCGAACCACAACACGGTACAACCAAATCAGCAGGCAATCAAAGCTCAATATGCACCTCTAAGACTGATGTAGTTCAAATGGTACTACCTCTAGGAGAAGTTAATTAACAGTATAGATGAGTCCTCAGATTAGAGAAAATATTCTAGTTCTTTTCCACCTAACTCCCAAGGCATCTCTGCTCACCGTAGCAGCATTTGGCATTGCTGTTCTTGTCCAGCACTAGCCTCTTGACAATGAATTTGATTCCAATTCAATCCATTTCCTCTGCTTTATCGTCTCTAAATTTTGATCATTTGAAACCAGAAAGAAAAGGAGGAAGCTGCTATTGTGCAAAAGCAAATAATTTCAGCTTTGTTTTAGGTTATATGTTTTGACTTTTCTTTAAAAAAAAGAAAAACGAATATTTAATTTCTGTTTCTACCAGACTGCATTGATTTGAGCAAAATGTTCCTGTGAGTTTCTTTATACTATAACTGGCAAATTCAGTCTTGGTTATGAACTCAAAAAAAGGCTTCTCATCTTTGGTTCAGGCCTCTACCTAATGTTTATAAACAGTTTTTGTCTATACCAAATCCCACTGAAATCAATGGAGACTAATATCACTGGGAGGAACATCAGCCCCTAGAATGGACTTTAAACACATCTAATTAGTGCTCATTCTTCCAGAGCATGAATTGTACAAATGAAACAGAAATGCTTTAAAATGAAAAATACTTGAATCTTCATGTTACAGACATTTCATAGTAAAGAGCTAGCCCTAGAGTCAGTTCATTAAATAGGATGATATGTAGGAGATGATGCTTAAGTAGAAGATCACACTGTACACTTCCTATTTAAATCTTTAATCTAAATGATATAATACTCAGTCAATTGTCTCACTAGAGATGAATACAGACATTTATTGTCATATAGACACTGTTCTACAGAAAGTATTAATTTGATCTTTTTTTTAATTAGAAATTCAGGAAAGGAGGAGCACTTCTGCCTGGCCTTTAGGAAAAGAACAAATGAATTCAGGTATAGCTTCTGTAATTACGTTGACTGTTTTATTGATCATTTTTGAAGTAATAATGGGAGAATATTTTCATCACCATATGTCATTACACTTATGAGTACTGACAGTAGTTTCCCCTTTGTAGTAGTAAGAAATGGTAATATACTTATACTTGATCAGCACCCAGGTGACATGCTAATAAAGTAATGCTCCCTATGTAGACTAAGCATCTTAGAAATTTTATATCAGATAGCTTGGTTAATATATGAAAACAGAAACATCATTTATATTTTTTCCTTTTTATTTTCCTTATTTTATTTGTTCAGAAGGCAGATGGAGGATTTATTTAACAAAACATCAAGAAGAAACAAAACCAGAATTTGAAAAGTTTTCAGAAAATATATCCAAAATGGTTATGGTTTTTTATGGAAGCAAAGGCAAGTCAAATCCAGTTTCCATGGAAAACAGAGTGGATCATCAGACTAAGAACCAAATAACATATGATGTAAGATATCCCTATATTTAAATTTTCTTTGAGTTTCTTTTTAAAGTGAGATAATCATGTATTATTGTTTAAATATTCAAGAAAAAACAGAACTGAAATTTTCAGTTGCACACCAGATTTCATTTTTTAATTTTTTTACTTTCTCGAGTTCACAATGATCAAGCATATTCTTTTTTTGCCCCTCAACAAATAGTTAATAATGTATATCAATTTAAATAACATTAATGTTACATATTCACATTTAGAAATAAGTGCGGTATGTAATTTGAATTTGATGGAACAATTACAATGAATGTCCCTAGAAGATAAGGCTAAAATATCCTTAAGTGCCTACAGTCAACCTGGTTCTGCTGCCTTTGAAGTCAATGGGACTTTTAGCACCAAGGCTGATGTAAAAGGGGTCCAGGACTGTTCTGGTCCCTTTAAAGCAAACTCCCTCTCTTGCTATAAGTTACCTTTGCATTTATCTCTGTTTGGGTGCTAACTCATGGTTTTGTTACTTCCTAGATACATTTACCATCTGATTTGGGAACGCTTTATAAAGTGAGACTTGGTCTCCAGAGTTTGGAAAACAGCATATCCCAGTTGTCTCTTCATCACTTTAAAATACAGAACACATCGACCCTGGATACCTTTAGTCTCACCATAAATAAAACACTTCCTCTTTCTCTTAATGGAGACAGATGGATTGAATTCCCCATACAGTGGCCATTAAAAGAAGCACTTTCTGGTAGGTATAAATCTACTTCAAAGCAGTAGACTGGTCCAGGAGGTTAACACATCCTAGTATTACAATAGAAACCTTTATCAAAACAGAAATTTTTATTGGTTTTATTTAATGATTCATAAAGGCTGGATAAGAACTTAAAATGTATGAAGGAAAATACTACCCACTCAGCTTAATTTCTGTACCATAAAACAGTAAGTGCAATATTCATTTGATTGCACAGAACCATTCTGCTACACAGAACAGTTTATAAGAAATATTCCTTTCTTGCAATACTGTAATATTTCTATTCTCCTTTCTTTAGTCCTCAGCAGCTCATATTATTGACATTAACAACATGCTTTTTTATAGCTCATTTACTATTAAGAGATTTTGTTGTTTGTTTGCACATTCCAAACAAAGACTCTCAGTAAATAACGGCTCAAAACTACATATAAGCTTCAGTTTTATTGTCTTTATACACTCCAAATATTTATGCTTGTTAAAGTAGTTCAACAATTCTTTCATACATCACCTTGATTAAGTAAAATAAAAGAAATCTTTTCACCTAACATCCACCATATCTCCTCATTACTGAGTACTACCATATAATGAAACAATTATCAAGTAAATTAACAGACCAATTAATGACACTTAATATTCAAATAATTTGTGTCTGTGTTTTATGCAGAAACCAAATAATTCAGTTCAACTAAAGTGAGTTGAAGTAGATGTTATATTAACTACCCCAATACACTTTGCATTTGAACTTATGGCCCAGTTTCAGTGAGGTGTTTGAATACATCTAAATGTATGTATGCAAATAATCTCAGTAGAATTAATAGAGGTTGAGGCTTTGTGATTTTTTCATATTTTGGCTGCAATTGATAATGTAAATTTTTTATTTAGGCTTTAGATTTTATATTGCTTAAAGGTGTTATTTTCACTTGACAACATCCAAAGTATGGGTACAAAACAGGGTTTAATGGCTTTCATCTCCTACGCTCAAGACTGAAAAAAAAGGACCTTCAGGTTAACATAAAGGCCATGACTGTGTCCCTTGCGAAATCCTGATCACTGTCACATGCAGAAGTATGTAGGATACAGGTACAAGCACACAGAAATGATGGGAGAAAAATCCAGCATGGGTGATAAAGGGGCAGTGAGACTGGAATCCCTATGACCTTTTTCTGATTCTGACTCTGTCACTTTCAACCTCTTGATTGAAAAAATAATTTCCCCATTCTTTGCCTTTTTTTTCTTTTTTTTTTCTTTTTTTTCTTTGTTTTTTTTTTTTTTTTTGTAATATTTTTATTCTTTGTAAATGCTCTGAGATTGAGAGATAAAAAAATCACAAACAAGGAATAGGTGTTATATTACCCATGTGTTTAGGTAAAATAACAAACAAATGAAATAGCTCATCTCTGTGGCTTTTATTTGTTTCCACACATGCTTTAGAAGTCTTAAAGGAGGCTTTGTAACCACAGTGAAGAAAAAACTAGAACAGTAATTCCCCCAAATCTTTGTTGTTTATGTCCAAGATAGCTTTAAGCAGTGTCACAGCAAGTGGTACATGTGGAGTTCAAAGTGATCTTTACACACACACTTACTTGCAATTTATTGTGCAAAAGAGATATGTTTTTCTGTCAGCTTTCTAAATCTAATTTATTTTCTCCTCAGTTTTCTTTTTCTCAACTAAAAACAAAACCAGTATTGTGTTAATTGGAATGGAAAGCAGCTGACCATAATCATCATAACCAGAAACCATGTGCTGTTAAATTTCAGATAAAGCTCTGTCATTCATAGAGTGACTTAATATTTCATGTCTTAGTTATATTTTCTTTTTGCCTCTTTCTTTTTTTTTCCTATTTGGGATTGTGATGAAGCATAGGCTAATGGCTAATTGAAACCATCAAAACAGTTGATAAAATACAATACAGACCCTTGGGATCTGGCTGTGAACACATGTGCCTTTGGGTGTATTAATGGGCAGAGGCCTCCAGCTGAATATATACATAAATAGTTTCTCCTCACTGTACCTCCCTTTGAGATGCTAACACCTCAGGAATCCCCAGGGATGACATGCTGCTCTCTTTCTCCTCTCACATACAGGGCTGTACAGAAGGTGAATTTTGCAAATCTGTAGTTTTTAAGGCAAAACAATTAAATATTGAAAAGGTGCAATAAAAAT